ATATACTGTATATATCATTGAACTCTAAAGTTCAACTGATCAACTCACCACAAACTTTACTTATTTAAAATTACATTTTTTACCTAGAGTCACAGGCGTCAACAGGTCTGCCTAAAGTGATAAATAATTAAATTTAGTAATTTGAAGGGTGACGATAAGGATATATGTAACGAAGAGACACAAAGAAGGATGGGACAATGTGAGCTCACAGAAACTCTCATGTCCAGAGTAAACACGACAGTAAACTGTACATGCACTGCACCATCATTTCTTTGTTTTTATTAAAAACACTCTAAAACCAACATGTTTAAAATATTCAAACGCTTATTTGGGCTTTGAAAACCTCTGGATGGATGAGTCTCATTTATGTCAAAGTGCCTCACCAGAGCCTTTCAAATGCTTTCAGCAGCCATGAGAGGGTCCACTTTGGTCTGTAAATCAGGAGAATAGACCGGACTCTCAGTTGGGTACTTCAGCTGAGACCCATAAATCACAGAGCTCCATTAACTCTTTGTGTCCAAGAGCAGGATTCTGTCTGAGAGGAATTTGGTAACAGATTTATACAAAATAACTTTACACTTAACCACCGTATTTTCCGCCGTACACGTCGCACCACCATATAAGTCGCATCAGTCCAAAAATGTCTAATAAAGTGGAAAAAACATAAATGTGTTGCTTCGTCGTATACGCCGCATCCATTATGTGTCGCCGCTGACAACCCTGAAATGTGTGGCCAAACATCGATTGGCTGCCAAATGGCGGCCGCGGCAGTGTGCACGGGAGGACTTTAACAAGATTAACACTTAAAAACAATTATTTGTTTACTCGAAATTATAGTAAAGGTGTCTCGGTTGAACTTTTCCTTAATAAATGCACTTTGATGGTCAAATTAGCTGCATTTCAAAAGCCGATCCACGGAAGTGGAGGCACGCAGAGGGACGACTCGCTGTACATTTCTTCACAATTTAACAAGATAACCACCTAAAAACAATTATTTGTTTGCTTGACTTTATAGTAAAGTTGTGTCTCAGTTGAACTTTTACTTAATAAATTCACTTTAATGGTCAAATTAGCTGCATTTTGCCAGGGCGGTGCAGCGAAATGGAGCTGATTTGATGGTTGCTCCATCTGGATGAAGGTGGCAAGTTATGGCAAGCCGATTGTGTCATTAACAGCCACTTTTACCTATTACATGACACAACGGCATGCCATACTACTCACGTGCCATCTAGTGGCTGAAAATGGTAGTGTTCAATATTTTCAATGTCAGAATGAATGAAAACGGTCATACCTCAGCCAAAAATTGATTTATAAATATGGGAAAAAATCCATAAATACGTTGCTTTGGTGTATAAGTTACAGCTTGGGCAAGCTGTTTTTCACTTTATAATTAGCTTCTTGTTCATACCATATTTTTCACTCACTGTTTTTCTAAAGAAGGTTGCAGGTTTGACTCCTGCCCAAGGTCTTTCTTGAGAGTTTTCTCCATGCACCCCGGTTTCCTCATACAAACCAAAAACATGCACATTGGGTTAATTCGCTAAACTGAACCACGGTAGTCTGTCTCATTTGTCTTCATGTGCGCCTGTGATGAACTTGCGACCTGTTCAGGGTGTACCCACCTCTCAACATTGACCGCTGCACCAGCCCCTCGTGACCCTGAACGGAAAAGATGGTAGAAAATGGATGAAATTGTCTTTTTATTTATTAACTGAACGCTCATTTTATTCGCAGTGGATCTGGCTGTGGAACAGGCCCACCAGGGTGTGTTCTTCAACGCAGGCCAGTGCTGCACAGCCGGGTCACGCATTTTTGTCGAGGAGCCCATATATGAGGAGTTTGTTCGGAGGAGCGTGGAGCGAGCCAAGCGGAGGATAGTCGGCAGTCCTTTTGACCCCACAACTGAGCAGGGTCCGCAGGTAAGGGGGGGCACATCTAGAAATTTGACTCGGAGCACTCGTCTTTTTCATTATCAGCTGTATCCTCATTTTTTTTTTCTACTATAAACGGATGTGTGGTTCTTGTTTCGCGTGCATCCTCTGGCTCCGCAGGTCAGCCGGGAGCATCAGAACCGTGTGCTGGACTTCATCCAGAGCGGCATCAGTGAAGGAGCTACGCTGGAGTGTGGAGGCAAAGCTTTAGGATTCAAAGGGTTTTTCATTGAGCCTACAGTTTTCTCCAACGTGAAGGATGACATGCGCATAGCCAGAGAGGAGGTATGATGACAACAGCTGTGCTTCTCATCTGTAACTAATGTAAACCTGCAGCTAACCTGCAGATAACCTGATGAGAGCACAAGTGGTGGAAGAAAAGACTTCTTCCTCAGGTTGCTAATGTATAGAAGCATTTATCAGCAAAATGTAAAAGCAACAGAAGTTATTATTCTGTCTGCTTTTCAATTGTATTTAATATCCTGGAATTATTTAAGCTTTTTATAAAATTATGACTGGATGTTTTTAGTTGATTTAGTTTACTTTAAACTAGAGATAAACCTTGCTAAAGCTGTAAATAAAAAAATAAAATTCTGCAAAAAATTAAGTACAGATACACACACACATACTTATATGTGTACAGTGTGTCATAAATGTCATTTTTAAATACATTTGAAAAATACTTTATAAATCATTTGCATAAAATGTTGAAATAAATGCAAAAGTTTCCACTTTAGTTCCTTTTTAAAAATATTTTTATTGAATAATTTATTTTTGAAATAAAAAAAACATTAGAGACAAAACTGTTTGTTGATATAATCAGAAAATGAATAACTTCAATGCAAATTACATGAACCAACAAATTACATAAATTAGGATAATAACATACTGTACCTAAAATAACGTAAAAATAAAAGGTTTGCGAACATTCTTTAATCCTTAACTTTACAAAAAAAAATTGTTCTGTTCATTTAACTTGATATTTTCTCATTAACTTGTAAACTAATTAGAATTTTTTTATATTTACCACAATCTATAAATATGATTAAATCTATATCATTATTATTGTTGTTGTTGTTGTTGTTGTTGGGGGAGTGGTGGCGCAAAAATTAGAGAAGGTGGGCCTGTGGTTGCTGGTTCAACTCCCTGAACCGATCACATCAAAATGTGGGTAGGAAAGGTGAAACACCCCCACCTGCCTCCACCCTCATTTGCCCCACTCTGGGCCCTTGAGCAAGGCCCTAAACCCCCACCATTCGCTCAAACCGGCACCCTAGATGTTAGCTCTCTGCTCCACACAGAGGGCTGCGGCAGCTCGGTGGCTGTGGTTGCGTCAGGAAGAACATCCAACGTTAAAGCAATCGCCAAGTCTTCATGAGACTTAGTTCGCTGTGGTGACCACTGAAGAAGGGAGCAGCCGAAAGATGAAATAATAAATAAATAAAATTATTGTTGTTGTTGTTTAAACAGAGAAATGTGGAGTTTAGATCCTTATATTTTTGTCTCTTTTGGCAGATATTTGGCCCAGTCCAGCAGATTATGAAGTTCAAGACGATTGAAGAAGTGATCGAGAGAGCCAACAACTCAATTTATGGTTTGGTTGCTGCTGTTTTCACCAAGGACATCAACAAAGCCATGACCGTTTCTACAGCCGTGCAGGCTGGCACCGTCTGGTGGGTCCGCTGTGCTCTGCTTAAATAATTTATGAAACTTATCAAACACGTGAGCCGTCCACAGCCTGTAAACTGAAACCACTATTAAATTTGACAGAATTATTGAGTTATTTTTTTAAAAATCAACAAATATGAGATGAAATGAAACATCAGAACTAAAACCTGAGCTGTGAAACTTTTCTTATTTGGATCACGGTTTGTCAAACGTCGACTTCACTCGGGATTTGTTCGCTTCACTTGTAATCACCAACAGCTGGTTGTGAGTCATATTAACACGCGGCGTCTGACAGAAATGTTTTGCTGATTGTCAGGATCGACTGCAGAAGTCTGGTAGCTGAGCAAACGTTTATTTTACAGCTTCGTTCTTCACTTTTGATGCTTCGCAGGAACGTCACACCGTTGTTCACCACCGCTCACAGAAACGTGCAGTCCTGTAAAAATAACACTTAAAAAACATTTATATGGAGCGATTTTATGTTGATTTTAACGCTTCAAAAGTTAATTATGACTTCCAGAGTTTGTAAACTGTTTCTAACTCGGTGTTTTTTACTGACTTTTATGAAAAAAAAGGTAAAAATAAATAAATATAAAAGCAGTCTTTTATGATCAATATCTGACAACCACAGCTGTTGGTGTTTTAAAAATAACATTAAAGTGGTGGGATGTAACGATGTACAAGTACTTTGTTAATGTACTGAAGTACATTTTTCATGTATCTGTACTTTACTTAAATAGAGTTAAACCTGGGTACTTTTAACTTTTACTCCACTACATTTTACATCAAGTATCTGTACTTTCTACTACACTACATTTCTATAATACGTTGCGTTACATGTTACATTGACATTGCAGTTTTTTGATTTGCTCGTTAGTTTGAAAGTAACCAGAGGTGAGAGGGGAGTTGGTTCATTGAGTCACTGCAAAGTGGGCAGGTAACGTTACACCTGCCTTCAAGAAGAGCTGCACAATGACGTATATTCTAGTATATACATCATTGAGCTGGGCGCTCCCACAGCACCGCTAACACACCCAAAATGGATTCCACTGCAGACAGTCAGCCAGAAGATACACATCACCCATGGCCTTATTGAAAGATTATTGAAAGATTATTGAAAGACTATTGAAAGACTGTTCAGTGCAGCAGGACAGATTCTCTCTCCCAAAAGAGACGGACTGGACTCAAAAAACTTTGAAAACCAACTTCTTCTGAACTTGAACAATAAATTCTTGCTGCAATATTAAAACGTGTCAGTTCATGGGATGTTAGGAGACAAGAGATGTCTCCAAATGTCTCGACACTCGGGTCCAAGTTTTGAAAATGGTGTCAGGAAGTTAAAATATTGTTCACTATTGATTCATTATAAGTTTGACAAGACAGTATTTGATGACAAACTGGAGTTGAAATGATCAGATATTCCTTTGTTAGTTGTGTCTAATGCTCCTTTTTTCAGGCAGACAACTTTTACTTAAATATTTTACTGCAGTTAAAATGACACATTGGTTTTACTTTGTGTTAAATAAAAACTTTCAAAGGTATAATCATTCCTCTTTATTATTTTGATTAATGTCATTTAACTCTGCAGGTCATCCCTGAATTCTGACGCACAGAATCACGTCCAAGTGTGAACTGTGTCACAGAGTACACACAATAAAAACAAGTATTATCTGCAGCATTGTTCATTAAAATGACTCAACACTATTAGAAAATATACATAAGATAAGTAGACTTAAAGATATGTAGACCATTACATTATGTAATACATTCAACAAGTACTTTTACTTTTAATACTTTAAGTATTTTTAAAAGCAAGTATTTACTTACTTTTACTTAAGTAAAACACGTTAATGTGATACTTCTACTTTTGCTAGAGTACATTTTTGTCTTTTTATTTGTACTTTTACTTAAGTACAGTGTTTGAGTACTTTCTCCACCACTATTAATTACACAGATTTTTTTCTTTGCGTGCGTGGACAGTTTCTTTAAAACTTTTTTTTAATCCATCATGCCATTTTATTTTGTTTCATGTTCCTTCCAGCTACTTAGCCAACAGATGTAATAAAACACACTTATTAATATACAACTTGACAATGTCCAGCCATTTTCCCATAACAGGAATTTAAGAAGAAGAAAAAAAACAGAAGTAATTAAGGCGACACTTATATCCCTCGTTCTAAATGTAGCTTTGTGTTACTGCAGGAGTTAAATGCACGAGGTTGATCAATGTTTTGTGTATTTCCCAGGATAAACTGCTTCAACGCTCTGAGCACGCAGTGTCCATTTGGAGGATTCAAAATGTCTGGCAACGGACGTGAACTGTGAGTACAGCTTGGCTATCGGCCAACCACATTATCACGAGTACTGACGCTGGGTTGTAAACATCTCAAGTAAAATGTCTTAACTTCACATTAGTCTTTTTATTAAAGGATGTAATTATTTTTTCTTTAAGTGTCTCCTGTAGAGCACGTCTCCTGTAGCGCACGTCTCAAACGTCTTTGTTACCGTTTCCTGTTTCAGGGGAGAGAGCTGCCTGAGGGAGTACACAGAAGAGAAGACCATCACGGTGAAGATGGTCACCAAGAACTCCTAAAGGGTGACACTTTGCTGAGAGGAGCCGGTGGGGGAGGAGGGAGGGGGGGTCTTAGCACCGCTTCTTGTCAGTCAACGACCTTCAAAACTAGTTCTTACTCGCTGCATCTAGTCCCTCCATCAGCTGGACCTTGCAGTCAGTCGTTCCCTGTCCGACTATCTCCAGGTCTGAACCACTGACCCCCACCCCCCACTCCTTCATTCTCCGTACCTCCTCCACTAACTCCACTAAAGCACTCACAGAGACAATGAGGGAGGCTGCTCTGACTGCATCGTCCAGGAACAACACGGCCCCCGGTCTCGACTCGTTGGACCCCTCCCCAGATGCTGGATGCTCAGAGACTCGGTCGCTGCACTTGCGATAAGCCCTTTAGCTACTTGTCACGGTTTGGGAGGCAGATTTTCCTTGCACTGTGGGCCATGATTGTCAAAAACCTCACGTGTCATTGTCTCGGTAGAGTTCATGCGAGTGTGTCGCCTCATCCCAGACCACTGATGTCGTCAGACGTGAACGGATGAAACGTTAACTCAGATTTCTAATTGTTTTTGTTTATATATTAGCTCATATGACTTAACACTGTATGTAAACCTCTGACGGACGTAAACGTGAAAGATTTTAAACTCTTTAACAGCGTTGTACTCTCACCTGCTAAAAGAGAAGTAGAGGTATTTCAAACTTTTGTAACTGATTGTCATTGACGTCCATCTTTGTTTATGTTTATACAATCATATGATATGAAATTATATAATGACTAGTTGTTCTTTTTTTTTTCAGTAAAACATTATTTTCTCTGGAAATGTGTCGTGTTTTCACTGACTGTTGTTATCGTTACACTTTGACTCTACTTGTTCAACAGATGCACATGTTCATTCAACCTTTATTTAGACATATGTGCATCTGCATCCATTAGTTTAAACTTTTACAGCTAAACTTGAGATAAAATATAAGTGACACTACTTTTACAGTAAAAGCAGTTTCTAAGCGTCAGTAAAATGTTAATAAATTGTTCAAAAGACCTGATAGCACATTGAAACAATGAGTGCATACACGATTGGTTGGTTTTCTAACTATCTTTCAGTTTGGAGGCAATGTGTTCAACATAATGGTACTTCCTCCAGTTATTTAACAGGCAACAATGGTGTACTACAAGGCTCTGTCCTAGGACCCACCCTCTTTACAATCTGTATAGGTAATGTAGGTCAGAGCATCCATGATGCATTCTTACATTTCTATGCTGATGACACAGTTGATTATTGTCGAGCTAAAACACTTGATAAGGCTTTCCAGCTTTTGCAATCCCCTTTTGACATCATCCAGTCTGATTTGTTCCGTCGCAAACTTGTCCTAAACGCCAACAAAACCAAAGGTTTGCTTTTTTCAAAGAGGACCTTGCTCCCAGCAGTTCATCTTTTGGTTTTGTCCTCAAACGGTGTCCCTATTGAGTTTGTCGATTTCTACAAATATTTGGGTGTCTTGGTCGATGTGCATTTCTCTTTTAAGCTTCACATGGAAAACCTAATCAGGAAACTGAAAGTTAAACTGAGTTTCTTTTTCAGAAATAGATCCTGTCTAACTCTGAATGCTAGGAAACACCTTGTAACTTTCCTTCCCTCCATTGACTACGGTGACATTATTTACATGAATGATCCTACAAGCACCCTGCGGATGCTGGATGCTGTCTATCAAGGTGTGTTAAGATTCATAACTGGCTGCAACTACCGTACCACCACTGCACCCTGTATTCACTGGTTAACTGGACATCATTAACTTCATGCAGACACTTTCACTGGTACATTTTCATCTTTAAATCACTTCTTGGTCTGCTGCCTTCATACATCTCCTCATACATGTCTCTGCATGAGTGCAGCTACAGCGTGCACTCTCAGGACATTATTACCTGCAGTGTCCCCTCAGTGCGAACTGAACTAGGCAAAATCACAACAAACTATAGTCTGGAAGCCAAAGCAATGCAGTCCAGTATAAAACTGCACTAATGAATTATGAAAAATATCAGGGCTCGAAATAATGTCTGAGTTGAAAAGTGAAAGACTTCAAGTAAACCGAGCCTGTAATTTCAGCAGCTGCTCAGTTTCTTAACCTTTTACACACAAATGGAGCAGGGTATTGTTTTAATACAATAAATACTGTAAATCTGTCTCAGAGCTGTTAGACCTGTTCTACGTTTGGTCTAAATTACAAATCTGACACTAAATATGCGCCCCATCATGATGCGTACAGTCTTAGAACAAAGATGCCTTCAATGTCTCAAAGTAGACTCAAAGAACACAAGAATAAACTCTGAATGGATTAAAAAACAGCTGACAGGACAGCTAAAAACAATTATAACAATGACAACACACCGGAAACCCTCAGAACCAGTACTGTGTTGGTTGGTTGCGTCAGTTTACTTCAGCTAAAAAAAGAAGAACATATCAGGAACAGTCATGATCAATGGAAAGCAGAGGGTGTTGAAAGTTCATTGGAATCCAGAAGATATTGAATGACATTTTCTGACCTTTTCAGGTCAAACGTGGTTAGTCACTTGTTTCCATGTCTCAGCGCGTTCTGTGTTCAGAGGAAGTGAATGTCATCAAATAGCATAAAATAAAAGAAGTCGATTATTTTATCAGAATGGTGTGTTTAAATAACACAAACAGGTCAAAAGGTTAAATTTAATTAAATCTATTCACCTCCATCTTGTAAAAATATTCATCAAGTTTAAAGACATTAGTGTAAGAATTTTCGCCAGCGTTGACGCAAATTATATAAATGATAATGTAATGTTTTGTGTTTGAGTAATGTTTTACTCAGCAGTTTCAGTACACTGAATCACTTTCAGGGAGTTTTATCATGAAATCCAACAGCACTGGAAACTTTAGCAGATTATATACTCAAACTGGCTGCACGCGGATGTGGTGGCTTCGTTTCCCCAGTTTCAATCGTTTCTTTATGTTCACTCAGGTTTTCTCAGGGAATCTTTTTTTAAAATCCCGATTCCAATGGGATTAAATAGAACTATGAATCCTAATATCCACTGCATTACTTATTTAGTTTACTGGAGCACTTGCTCTGTAATTCAGAAAATACAGGCCTCCTCCACTTGGAAGTTTAAATATAATCCATTTATGCATCAACAAAAAGTTCTCATTAACTCGAAGTTAATTAATAAAACAGATTAGAAGATGTCTGGTTTGATGGTTGGCGTTCTTGATGAAATGTTGTGACAATAAAGTGCTGGAACCTTTCTTTGTTCGTCTCTTTTAAAAAATGTTTTGCAGCACTTTCCCACAATTTTCCTCCCCGTCAGTGTCGGCAGGCCTTCGAAAGCAAAGATAAAAAAGTGATTGACTTATTGCAGCACTTTATTAACACAGAAGACTACAAAGAACACTTGCACTTTAGTGAGACGTCTTTTAATGTTTATGTATTATGGCCAGTTTCATTTAGAAAATTACTGTTATTAAAAGATGTGATAAATGTCTTTACTTAGGGCCTTCGTTTTTATTAAGAGGATGAAAAGAAGGCTTTGTGTGCAGGAAAGACAGACTGTGAGCTTTTAGCTCAGCCACTTCGTACACATTTACAAACGATCGCGGTCGGTGGTTTGACCCAGATGCAGGCAGACACGGAGAGTTCAACGTAAAATAAAATGTATTATTTAAATAAAATTTTATTTTAATTTAATTTAATTGAAAAAAAATATATATATAATGTATTTTTCAGGCTGACACATTGTCCAGATTGAAGACTGGGCTTAAGACTTTCCTTTTTAAAGAATCCTATAGTTAGGGTTGGCTTGTTATGCAGCTATAGTCTTATTACACTACTAGAGGACAAATGACCTCATTTCCTTAAATGAATTGTTAAAACTGAATAGTTTTCATTTGATACTATTTCTATCTTAACATGTGATTCTTGACCTGCCATTGTGTATCTGTTCCTACCAAACCCAGCCGGTCAAAGCAGATGGTCCTCTTGTCCTGAGCCTGGTTCTGCTAAAGGTTTCTTCCTCATGAGGGAGTTTTTCCTTTCCACTGTCGCCTTCATGCTCGCTCAAGATGAGAGTTAAACTCAAAGCAGTCTGATCCTCAGATAAATAGTGTTAAATTATTATTTTTATATATGAATATTTCTGTTCAGTGTCCTGAGATGAGTTCTGTTGTGACTGTATAAATAAACTGAATTTAATTGTTTATTTTAAATTAAATTAAAGGCCTGACATGGCAGCAACAGTTTACAAAAACTCAGGAGGAGAAGACACCGGGGAGAACGAGGGGGCATGAAGAGGACCGAGGAACCTGAAATGCTTTCAGGATAAGGAGCTGGTGAGGTGGAGACGAGGGACTGTTTCAATACCAAACTGAGGGAGACTGAATGTGGAAACACCTGGAATGAATATTTATGGGGACAGGTGAGGGCGACAGGCTGACTGGAAGAACACAGACGAGGCTTCCTGAGGGTTAATGGAAGATGGAACAAGAAATCATCCATCCATCCATCCATTTTCTTTACCCGCTTATTCCATTTTGGGTCACGGGGGTCGCTGGTGCCCATGTCCAGCAGTCACTGTGTGAGAGGTGGGGGACACCCTGGACACATCTCCAGTCCATCTCAGGGACATCCTGGACAGGTCTCCAGTCCATCTCAGGGACACCCTGGACAGGTCTC